TAAATGTAATTTTTTCAATAGCCAAACGATCAGCTGACTTATTTGAAACATTGTTGGTTATAGCTCCATACATTGTTCGAGCCAATTGAGGTATTTGAACAACACAATAGAAAATGGCTTGTACAAATAACATGACTAATGCTTGTTGATCACGAATACGTTGAGCATTTGAATTAGCATTCGATCGAACAGTAGAATTATTAGGATTGCCTTGTTGTTCACGCAGGTTTCGTTTCATTGTAAGATTATATCGAATGAGTATTGCAGTTGTAATCATGATTGTTGCCGGAAGAATACCACCCATAGTTATAGTATAGACACTATGATAGAATGCTATTGATCCGCTATATGAAATAGTACAAATATTAGCCACTGGATTTATCTCATAATATATAATCATATGAATAGGTAAGATAAGCCAAGCAACAATCGTGCATGCAATCGTATAACGTGCAATGTGTACTTGAGCAAATTTTCGTATGCGAGAACTTCTTGAAGTTAATGCATATCGATCGATACAAGCAACAGCTACTAGCCAACGTCCCATCATGACAGTTGATTGAACTATATAAGGACGTGACTTGCAAAAAGCACGTATTGTCGTCATCGGATCCGGATGATCGAGTGCATAGAGATTTGCAGCAGAACCAAAACATATAAGAATTAATAAAACTACTGAGGCTGCCAATAAGTCTATACAAAACAAGAAATTTATGATTCAACATTTTTCAATATTTTCATCATAGAATATGTTTGAAGACTATAATTATTCACTAAGAAACGAGACTTTAATTGAAAAATTGAAAGGCATATCTCATATCGAAAAGATATTTAACCTTGGACAATAATATCATCAATCAAGAATCAATACTGATTTCAACCATTACTAGAACAGTCATTGAAGAAAAAATAGTTCATCGATAGGATTGATTTTTATTGTGACTTATTAATAACATAGATACGCTAATCGAAATACATTTTCTAATACCAAAACATAAGAAAATCTAAATAATGTATGCAATCCCTTCAAATACTATGTAACGCTTCATGACGTCATGTAATGATCTCTAATGATCTCAGGGGAGTATATGTCCTCCCAAAAAGCTTCTCTGGGTGTGGGAATGCATGCATCTGGCGTTACAAGAATTCGATGAATTCTTGAATTCTAGGATTTATCGAAATACATATCCTCTGCACTGAGAATACATGCGTCACACGTCTAGTATGATATCTCTGCTTTGAAGCATTACAAAATGTAACTGTATTTGTGTGTATCCCTCAAATTATACTTACAATTGCAACATGATGTTACGCGAAATTGTCGTCGTGACAAAATAATAATATTGAGTAAACAGCCTGGAACACCAAATATGAGCCACGACGAATAACCATAACGAATTAATTGTAGTCCGGCATTGGCCAGCGATGTTGCAAGCTCTGTAGGCATTTTTATTAAAATGAATAAATTCTCTTAGTCTTTCCGCTTCCTTCTCGTTTTAAAATCTAAACGTATAAAAAAAAAAGAATCTTGTCAGCGCAACTCCTATGGTGCTAAAATGTGCAACTCACGTATTTTCTTCTGACTACGGTAAACCGATTAAAATTTGTAAAATAAAAAAATTCTTAAAGACTATACTTGTTCATTAAAACTAATCGATCATTAGAGAAAAAATCTGCCTTATTTATTTCCACACTTTCAAAAGATATTTATTATTTTCTTGGACGCTCTTTTTTTCTTTCGCATTTCCACTATTGTTTGTTTTGTTTTCATTTTTCTTTATTTTAAGATTTAATATAATTATTTGGGGGGGGGGGGGGGGGGGGGGGGG